CAAAGCAATGGAAAAGTCTCAAAAACCAATTACCTATTTGTTAAGGTAATTGAGGTGTACACACGCATGTATTAAAAAAAACTGTATTGAATTTAAGGAATAATGAAATGCTGTATACATTTTTACGTTGTATTAAAGAAACCATTACCAAGATGATGTGTAGCTCTGTTCTTGATACTTGAAAGAAGTTGAGCACACATTCTAGAACATGTATAAAAAAACCCGAAAGAACTATTCAAGAGTTAACAAAATTGCTGTGTGACATGAAAATAAAGGACCTCAGGTTATTTTTGTTTTATTTATGCCAAAGATGGATAAGATACATCTCAATCACAGTTTCAAAACAGGAAATTTCTGCTAATAGAATGTTATTTAATTTAGTACAGAAAGGCACAATGAGATCCAAAGGCTTGAAACTGAAGCTGAATGTATGGATTCTACATGTAGTATGACATTCTTAATAGTGAAGATAACTAAGCACTGGAGCAACATACTTCAGCAATCATGAAGATAGAACATCCCATGGAAAGAGAGAAAAACTCAGTTTGAAGCCCATTTGAAGTACAAAACGTAGAACTGTGGCGTTTATTTGTACCAGAATGCGCACTCTCCTCAGTAGACAGAAAATTAGTGTGAGACTTACAGAAATTCCACAAAGTAACTGTAAAACTATGTCTTCCAGGAACTGAAAGTGGCTATGTTCAGAACTGCAAATCTAGGTGATAAAGATGATGTTTTCATAATTGTTATCTTTTGACAAAATCCATCCTGTGACACAGATACAACTGACTAACCTTCTGGTTGGTTTAGCTGGTTAGTGGTGTGGTTGAATTCTTCAACCATTCTATTACTTCATTATTTAGTTAAATGCATTTGTGCTTTTTTAACTGATAAATCACTCAACTCAGTGGAATAGATCTTCTGCAAGAAAAAGCTGTCCTATATTCAAGTTACACACTAAATCAGTTTTACAGTTGGTTTATATAATGGAGTAACACCAGCCCACAAGCATCTGCTCTTAGGGTGCTGCATATTCCTACTCAAACATGTACCAGCCAGTGTAGATCAGATGACAGGACTCCTTCAAGCAGCAGTGCTACTCCTGCAGCACCCCACAATTCCCAAATATTTTAAAAGAGAGGCTATAAATGAGGATTGCCCATTTCTATTTGCGTCTTTTAATAAAACAGTGGATGTGAGACCATGGTTCCTGCTTGATAATTATAACCCCATACTTAAGTGTTCATTTCTGAACATAGATTTCTTTTAGTTGGGGAATAAGTTATTTAAGTAGTCAAAAAAAATTTAGAGCTGCTTATTTACATAGCTGGGTGTCATTTTCTTCCAAGGAAGAGTTTTGGTTTTGAAAAAGGTGCCATATGTAATTTAACAGTTTTTACTTGACAGGAGATATTTGTTAGTGGCTTGGCATGGCTTGGCAGGAGGTCTTTTATGATACCATGTCTTCAGTTACTCTGCCTTGCAAGGAGGAACAAGTCAGATTGCAGTTCTTGTTATTGCAAAAAGACTTAATCTGATGCTACTAAAGGATCACCCATCTTAATGAAGAAAAACATCCTATCTCTGGATCTTCTGGTCCTAAGAAGTTAAATACCTGTCCAGGAATCAGTTCTTAAAGTATCTGCACATTTCGCTTCTCAATGGACACACAAGACTTTCAAGTCTTTGAATTACACTAGTATTAACCTCTGAGAAGAACGAGAGACATCAGATCTGTGTGTATCATATAGTTAAAATGAGTCATGGAATAAGAAAGGTGGTGGATGCTGTGGAAAGTTTGGTCATAGATCAGGCTCATGAGAGGCTTTGCCTGTATATGTAATCATTCACTGACAGCTTTGGTTTCCAGTAAAACATGCACATATGCGTGTGCTCTGACATCAGGCATTCAAAATACAGTGAGTATGGAGATGACATGAGAATATCAGATATATACTAACTGAGCAAAAGGATTTGGAGGAACAATCTGAATCAGGTTGTAATCTTGGGAAATAGAAATTTTCTTCAACTTGTGATGGGATGGCCCAAGACATGAGAGCGTAAATTCTTTATTAATAGTGTGTTATGCTGTTGTGGAAGTCCGCATCTTGGAAGCTGAATTCAAGTACTTAAAATTAGACATCATAACAAATGGTAAGGTTTGGAATAACGGTATGTTGAAATACTCCATGAAAAATTGTTACATACAAGTGAATACAGAGCAAAATATCCTATTTCACACATACAGATCTTAAAACCAGAATTAAATGTTTTCAGAAAGAACATTTTTCTGTTAGAATGTTATTACTGTCACACTTTCACTGCTTGATGCACATAATTCTGATTCTACTTGTCTCACTCTAGATCCCAACAGACATCCAGACTTAGTTTTCATCTTTTTCCCTTTTATGTATAAATTAGGATCATCTGGCATGTCTGTGAAGGCCCCTGAGAGATCCAACATACTGGTAAGAGAGAGAAGATAGTGACTGGCTTTTATCCTTGAAACCCATCTTGTCTACTTTGAGGTATTCGGATGTATCTGTATTAGTCCCCCCTTTTAATATCTTCAGAGGTATTCTGCTCTCCCTAATAGCAGAGTCATTATATAATAAAAAGGCAAAAGTAGAAAAACAAATTCAGTCCAAAGCCTGTACTATAGCTGCTTCTCCTGTATGTCCTGGTAGAGTACACTGGTATGAAAAGATTTGATGAGGAAAGATTGTACTCCTCCATGCTTGGCATCAAGGCACAGAATTTGCAGAAGATGGGCTAAGGTGCCAAGAACATGTGCCAAGTCATCATATCTTTTCAGCTCCTTCTGCTGGAAGGACCTCACCACAGCTCCCAGAATGCTTGAAATCCACCATCAGTCAGTGATAACGCAGCTATTTAAGCACCAGTCCTTACTTCAGGGCAACTGGCCAGACTGAAGCAGACGGCACAATTTCCCTCTTATTTTAGTAATTTGTGAAGTATTTCAGGGTGAACACTTATGCAAATAAATGTGAATTATTGGAGAGTGCTTTGTTTGTTGGGGATACGCTCAATGAAATCATCTACTTTGTTAGGATGTTTCCTAGAAAACTGACTTAGCATGATATTGATGCTGAAGGGTGACAGATGCTTAATTCAGGGCAACGTTAGCGTAATTTTCATTAGGGACAATCATCAGATAGTGCCATGTATTTATACTGAACTCAAGTCAAAAGTAAAGCACTTATCTGTTAAAGTTTGTTGTCAAATTGAAATCCCCAGTGGGTGGGTGGGCTGGTTGGTTGGTTGGTTGGTTGGTTTGAGCGCTAGTTTGAGCGCTAGTTTTGCTTCCTCTCACCTTACAACAAGTAGTGGGAAGCAATATAAAAAAAAGAGTGCCACAGAGCAGTCATTCAAAACGGATCAGAGGATTACCATCAACCCTTAAAAAGTATCCTGGACTACCATATATCTTTATTGTCCATTTTAAACAGGTTGTTTTAATGATACCTTTTCCTTTTTTTTTTTTTTTTTTTTGGTCATGATCGTATTCAGGACTACAGTTTGGGAACAAGTGCAAATAGAGTTACTTTGGGTTTTTTCTCTACCTTGCTGTCCTATAATGTAGTTATGATGTTTTATACGCAGCTTTTCAGCTGTAGATACCAGTACACTGAGCTCACTCTCAAAGGAGATACTGTATTCTTTTGTACAACGCTATCTCCAGCTTACAAATAGGGAAGTGGAGGCAGAGGGAAGAAAAGATACTTTTGTTTTCCCTAAGGCTATCCAGTAGACCATTTGGCAAAATCAGGAGTAGAGTTCAGGTCTCTCAAGGTCAGTGACTGCATTGAACTGCTTGTTTAACAATTGGAAAAGTTGTAATCCTCAGATTTGCTAATCTATGCACTTTACTTCCCTGAGGCCAATTTTAGAATGGTTTACTGCAAGCCTCTTCACCTAGGAGAGGGGAAGTAAAGATTCTGACATTTGCCTGCAGTATAGGTGGACAGTTGTCATTTTTGTTCAGGGTTTTACTGTTCGTTAGTATGATCATATATGACAAGTATATAGGGCCCTATGTTGTAAAATCTTGTTTCAGATCATAATCTTGATGTTTTGAATACATATGAAGGTATTTCACCTGCTTCATACGACATGGTTATCAATAATTTTTTTTTTTTTTTTTTTTTTTTTTACTTTTTATCTTTGGTAATTTTGAGGAACAGCAGTTTCTTGTTGGAGTCTCTGACTCAGATGGGCAAGACCATCACCTCAGGGAGATGGCAATTCAGCATGGAGAGAAAAACGACGTAAAGAAGAACAGATAAAAAGCTACTTTCATGATATAACTGGACAACAAGATACCACTGCAAAGCAGTGTGTTGATGTTGATTCCAAGTGAACTAGCTGGGTTGCCAGAAGCAGTGTAACTGTGGTTTCACTCAGACTGGGGATTGGACTGATGTAGTTCAGAGTTAGATTTGGGTAACTCCCCATGACACTGCATTTTACTTCTGTTGATGATACACAGAACAATAGTTACATGTGAGCTATTGTGTAAGTGTGAAATTACTTACTCTAAAAAGCATTTTCTCAGATTTAAAAAAGAAAGCCTTCTACAGAGCTGTGTGTTACTGACCTTAGTCCTAAATTACTAATTTTATAATGTCTTGATACAAAAATTTGATGCATTCTTGTGTTATATGAACTAACAATGTGTAAAAAAAGAAATTTAAGATACATCCTGCTGAATTTTTGTGTTGATTCATGTACTTTATTTCACAGGCAAAAAAACCAAGGAAGAACAGATCACTCACAACTGCACATGTTTCAGCCTGATGATGATGGTACTTTAATTAGAACAGTGGAAAGTCAGCATGAATTCTTTTGTTTTACAGAAAGCAAGAAGAATTGAGGTTAATTAAAGGTTAATTAGAGTCTAATTGGTAGTTCTTTTTTTTTTTTTTTTCATCCTCTGGTGATAACAAGTATGTTGGAAGCCTTGACTCTGATGGCAACAGATTGGGCAGGCCTGGTGTTGATTGCTACTGCCAGCATGAAAGTGGTGCTGCAATTCTGCAGCTCCAGTTCTTAATCAATGAGGTAAGGACATATTTACTCAGATTATTCTGTATAAATTTAGTTGAATAAATCAATTAGTGTATTGTAATTGAGTGATGCCACTTTTCACATTGACAAATGGTGCCAACAAGTAAGTGATGTACATCCAGAGGATGTTCACGATATAGCCTGCCATATGGGACTGCACGCAAGGAAGAGTATTACCTTCATATACATCAGCATAAAGTACTGAATAAAAGGCAGTCAATATATGAATGTGAGCAGGTAGATGTAAAACCCATTAAATTACTAAATATGCTGCATAGTCCTGTTCCAAATAGAAATTAATATATGAGCTAAATCTTTCTTTGGAAATATATTGATGGTGATTGTCTGAAAACTCAATAGTTGGGGATATGCTACTATGTGAAGCAAGGAAAAGCAATTGCAGGGGTCATCAATCAAGCTAGTATGCTCAGTCTTTGTAAATGGTTTGTCAAAATCAAGTTTAGATGACATAAAGAAGAAGTGACAGATTATAGCTTGCTCTGTGCAGAAATTCTCTGCAGATAGTAATAGAAAAGGAGACTTTCTGGAGCATATAAATCTGGGGTTTTTTTCTAGAGCCTCGTAACTCGTCCAAATTATAAGATAGTCATAGTTCAGTTTTAATTAATTTTCTCCCATGATATAAGGAAGCACTTCTGACACTTTCGACTCCTCTTTCTAAGCATGGAGATCTTAGAGCTTCTCAAGGAAAGAGTTTTAGTTTTGTGGGATTTTAAACCTGAGATTTTATTTTTTTTTTCTACACCTGTTTGAAGAAAGTACCTGAACCACAAAAAGTGAGGAGGGGGGACTGAAACTTGAGAATCAGTCCAACGGAATTCTTTAGAGGAAGGAGGGGATGAAAACAGGGAGGCCAAGGTTTGAATCAGCGTTGTTTCTTTTCATTAGTGACCAGCAGAACTCCTAATGCATAGAATTAATTAGATTTCTGGTGAAGATTCTCTCTGACATTGGCCCAAACTCTTTGGGAGGTGAGATTTAAAGCATGAATTATACTGTATTAGAGAAGTTTCACCTTCAAAAATTTCATTTGCATGTGTCAACGTTAAAAAGAACGGTTGCTAGGATTAGGAAGGAAATCAAATAAGCAAAAAGAGAAATTTATTGATCAGTCATAGTTGTTATGAACTGATCTTTCAGTTACCTCCTCAGCCTTGCTCAGAATAAAGCATTGCCTTCTGTTTGAATGGTATCTAGTTCCTCTCTGCTATAGTAGTACGCAGGGCTAGACCTTTTGTGCTAGACCAGATCTGAGGTGTAAATGGAGTAAACCACTGTAGCAGCAGTCCATTTTCACATGTCATCACTGCTGCATGGTGAGGAGAAAGATAGTAGGAAGGCGGTAGAATAAGTTCACATCAAGCTGCCCAGGCAGGTAGAGTTCTGGACTTTGGATGATGTACATTTTGGGGGCACCAGAAGCAGAAAAATCAAGACTCTCTCCTTTTGTCTACAACTCTTATTTTTCCCTAGGTCCTCTCCCTCTGTCCTATTTTCTTATCTGCATCTTATTTTCACAGTTCTGGTTTTGAATTTCATGTTATCTTGATATGACTACTAAACTGTGCTTGATACTGTCAATTGTGTGTATGTGTGTGCACTAATCCCTTTGTCCTTTAGTTATATCCTTCACGCTCACCTTTTTAAGTGTTGTCCTCTGTTTTGTTAATCTCTATGCTTATGTGGAAATATGTGAGAGTTCACATGTATGGGTTGATACAAAGCTTTAATTTACATTTCAAATTGATCAGGTTCTAACTTTAGCTGACCTTGTACTAATTTAGAATATTTACATTTACCAGATCAATTCAAATTGACTAGAATATTTTTTTTTTCTAGAAGAAAGCAACTATTTTTCATAAACTGTAACATTTTCTATGGTTAGATCATCATCAGTGAGGATCACTTAAGAATAATGCAGCATCTGCCGGGAAAGTAACATATTGTGTTGTATTTTGTATCTGCTCTAGGGTGCTTTGGTCAGTGCGAGTGCAGATGATGCACTTCATTTGTGGAATCTCCGACAGAAACGACCGGCCATCCTACATTCCCTGAAATTTAACAGAGAAAGGTAAGACTGTATGACACAATGACATGACATCTCATTAAAAACCACACAAACTTACTTTCTAGATTTCTAATAATACACGCTTACTAATTTGCCTTTCTAAAGGTGGCTATAGTTTTGTCTTGAAATTTTTTTTCTTCAGTTGTTTGAGTCTTGTTTCCATAGAACAAGACCTTCGCTTTCTCTTTCTGCAGCCTTCTCAGAACTAGAAAAGTTTCGTCTGCTTTTTGTCAAAATGTTTTTTGTTTTATCTTCTGTTTGCATGAACCAGGGTGAACAGTAGTGTGTTTGTTTTTCTTAAGTCCAGTCTGTGACCTTTTGGCTAATCTGTTGTTAAGTATTAGAGTACTTCAGCTGGCTGTATCAGGGAAATAATTATTTTCTTTACCTTGAAGGGGTTTTAGTTTTGTAAAATACTAGAAGTTTAACAGACATAAATTGTGAATTTGGGAAGCTATGGTAAATGTTAAGTGAAGCAGAGACTGTTTTTCTAAATTTTACTTTATCAGTACTTAATTGTAGAAATCCCTGCTGAAAATAGGTTCAATGAGTGGTTGTAATTTTTAAACTCAAAGAGAAGCTGAGTACTTTAATCTGTATTTAGTCACCCGAGTAAAACCTCCTATGATATAATGGAGCTTGAATGCTACACTTTTATTAAGAAAAATTTCCATGTTTCTACTATGGAATTAGGTCAGAAGACCAAGCTTCAGTGCATAAACGCAGCAGTTGGATTTTTGTAAGTCCTTGAGCAATATAGTTACCCTGTATTTCATCTTTGGGATGAATTTTCTAAAATTGGAAAACATAGGTATAATACGTAGGATGGTTTTGACTGGCGGTTTAAGTGATATTGTAATTCTCTTAGTATATACATTCAGTGATTATTAAGGTGCAGCTACTTCTTTTAGATATTTATATATTCATTTGTGCAGTGGTCAAAGGTATCAGTACTTTACCAGAGCTGTGAAGTAAACAGGCTCATCAAAGCTTTAGCTGGAGCAAATCTGAAAATTATTATGGAAATAGACTTTTTCTTTGTTCATTATTCAGATACATATCATGTTTGCATGTCTGCATGTCAGCAAGTTGCAAGTTTTGTCATGGGAAGTACTGCATAATAATTTAGAAAATATGCATCCTGATTCCAAAGGGATTATAACCTATAGCACAAGTGTATAATCTGGTTTGGGACTGCATGAGGGAAGATGAAAAAGAAAATTTTAAGTACATTTGATAGTTGCTTCTTGACAGTAAGTCATCATTTTACACATGCTGAAATACTTGAATTTCGGTATTCTTACCAGGTAGGTACTTTATCCACAATTTGTCATTAATAAATCTAGATATTGTAGAAGTTATTCCAGTACATCTAGGTCTAGCTCTCCCAGCCAGCAACCTTCCATACAATCTAAGGAATCATTACTTATAAGAATGCAATGTCTCTTCACCTGTTTGCCTGTCATTTCTGTTCAGAGACATTAGTGTAGTATCTCAGTCAGAATTTTATCAGAATTTCTTGATAAAATCAACTCACACGCATTTGGGCTTTGCTAAGAGCAAAACATTTGTCATCCCATTTACCTAAATTTTCTTTTACTTCTGACAGCTTAAAACGTTGAGCAAAATATTTGGAACAAGTTATTTTCAGTGTTGGAAACCTTTGCATAAAACCAAATTTTGTGTAATGACATTTTTGAACTTTTAAATAGGATCTGAGGATGTAGTTAATTGTAACAAATGCATTGCTAGCTATACTTTTATCAGAGTCTAGTAAGTTGTGAGTTAAAAAAAAAAACCATTAGTTTTTTCATGTATATTTTAAATAAATGGTGCAACCACTGCCATTTAAATAATTTTTACTAGCACATCAGAGCCTATGAGGCAGATATCCTGGTACACTTCTATAGAATATTGTCAAAGAAATAAATCCAGTTTTAAATTTAAAAAGTTTTCAATAAGTACAAAGAAATAACTGCAGGCAGTCTTTTCTTCTCAGGGTTCTCTAGCACTGCCCTGACTTGGTTTGGTTTTTTTTTTAAATTCGAGCACTTGGCTCCAGAATGAAATCTCTTCCTTTTTATTATATTTTCTTTTAACATACATAGAAATTAATTTCAAATTGTCTTTCATTTTTCTGAGCTTTATTGCACATTTAGTATCTAAAATTCAACATAAGCCTCTGGGCAAGAACCAACAAATGTAAGGCTAAACTCCTAACTAACCCCCTCATTAATCTGGAACAATTCTCTGTGTATATATATATATATATACCTAACAGATTCAAGGGTAAAAGAGAGCTTCCATTTTTTTTCTGAACATATTTTTTGTGTTAGAGCACTGAAGTTATGAATTCCACGATGCTCAGAGAAACAGCAAATAATGGTTGCCTTGGCTGTAAGAAATTTACGGCAAAATGGATGTAAGGGGAATTTGGGAAGCTGATAGAGCAATGAGATCAAAATTGATTTTCTTTCAGAAACTCAAACGGCTGTCTTCCAAAAATTAATGTCTTTTTCACTGTTGGAACAGTTAAAATTTTTTTTTTGTTTTCATCCTCTCATCTCCTCTTGCAGAGGGAGGTTAAAGAGAAGCAAGATTCATACTGAAGGGAGAAAAATTCTTTCTTTTGACTTGTTTTCAGTTTGTGACCCAATGAATACTGATGTATGTTTTCAGAAAACAGTAAGGTATTGAAAAAGGCCATACAGGGAAGTGTTTACCCAATCAAAGGCTAGTTCTTCAAGGACACCATTTATATTTAATTTGATTTTAGATTTAGACAGCTTTTACAGAGCCAAACATATAATTATTCAGATGCATTTTACCTATGAAAGCAGAGCATGTGACTGCTTCAGATTTTCCTATTTGCATGTCTCTCTTGAGGATTTATAAAAATTGTAATTTTATTCATACAGTATGTTTGTCTTTTTCATACACTGTTTTGGATTTTTCTTTCTGAACAATTGGCAAATTTACTTCATGAAATGGTGCAATATAATGCACTTTTACTTAACACTAATATTTTATCTGCTTGTGATGAGGAAGATAATTGTATTAGTTCAAATTCTTGATGAATTTCACTTCAATAAATTAGCTTTCATGTAGAATAAGTTTATTCTGAGTTTTTAAAATATTTGATGCATGAGCCATGCACCCGTTAGATTCTGTTAGATGAATGAATGCTACTTGAGCCTTTGACTATTACTCAGTGCACCAGCCTTCCCATTGTTGAACCGTTTAATTTACGATTTGTTTCTGTTTCTTGACATTTTAAGATTGCAGGATAATAGAGTAAAATCTGCTCTCAGCAGTGTTTCTGTATATGTTTATGCAACTATTTGAGCCGGATTTCCACAGGCATATATGTACATATATGCCCCCTTTGTCTCCCACAAAAGTAAAAAACGTATTTATTCTTTTCTTCAGATGTTGGTAACAATATAGATGTAAAGAGCAAAGAACTCTTAAATGTAGCACACTGGTTATCTTTCACTTACCACGTAGCGTTCAGTATTAAGGCAGTGAAAGGTTTATGAATAATAATTCACATACAAAATGCACTTTTGTAGCCATTAAGCCATAGTTTGCAAACTCTGAAAATTCATCTTTTTTTCTTCTTCTTCTGACCTATTGTTAAAGTAATGTTGGTGCAACATTAACAACATTAACTTGTCTCTGATAATCCACTGCTCTTTTACCAAGTGTCTCTTTGGAGCAAGTGTAGAAGGAACATTGAAGAATGAAATGTAATGGTAAACTGATATTTTTGTTCTACAGTGAAACGCTCTGGACTTTTTACTTAATTATATGTTTTTGCTTTGTATCAAAATATAAGGTTATCATCTTAGATTTCTGTTGCTGCAATTGCTATGTAATACAATGAATTAAAAACCCTCAAGAAAATATAAATGTAAGCAATGTGTTTCAGTCCTCAGCCCCAGGTGTAATGCTAATACGATTACTTCAGAACATGCTTGGCAGTAGCATGTAGTTGATAATACATTATTTGCTGTTCCATTTACAAAGAGGGTGGACAGGTAAAAATTTTTAACCTCTGGAAACGCTCCATAAGAATCTCTTCAGTACCTTTGAAGGACAACATTATGGTGGTGTTTCTTATGAAACAAAGAGGTTCACTCAACAGTCAGAATTGAGTATAACTGTTCAGCAGGTATTCTTTATTCGCAGTGCTGGGCACCACTGGGGATCACTCCACCACAACTGCCACATTTACTAACAAAACGCCCTGACTAATATACACAAAAACCAGACGTATGCATCAGATTTCTTAGAAAAGGCAGTCTTATGCTCATGGGTTCTCAGAATTCATTTACATCGTCTGAGCATGCGTAGTAAAAATAGAGTGAGGGTCTTGTCCCCTCCTTAGGGGTCTACATAGCCTTTCTCACACTGTCCATTAGTGAACTTCAGGTTTCTCATGTCTGTATATGGTCATGGAGTTACTTCATCTATCCTCCAGCTCCCGTTTGTTTCAGCTTTCAGCACTTACCTTGACACTGGCATCTTCTTAGGCCTTGTTTTCTTTAGGTTCCTGCTATTAGGGATGTACTCAGGGTGTTTTTCAGACTGTCCAAGGTCTGTCTTATCTTTACTAGGCAAGGAGTTAAAGGTTTCAGAACATCTTACAAGTGGGTAATGTCTACAGAGGGTAGTTAGGAAAAAGTGTAAATGAAATTATATACATTACAGTAAAATACAGGGGAAAAAAAGCTAGTAAAATACCAGTGATGTCTAGCATTAAAACTAAATGTCTTATATTACAGGTCCCTGGACATTAGCAATTTCAAGTATACTTGTAGCAACTTCCTTTCATCTATGTTAGTCCCTGCTTTTCCTTCTTTGATGTCCTAGGAGATGTCAGATTCATGTTCAGTAGACATTTTCGGCAAAATAAATAACTCAGCTACTAGGATTAGACACTGTCTCTATTTGCTGCAAAGAACATCTGGATTAAGCTAAACCACTGAAAACTATTATAG